CCATAGTTTATTGGTACTTAATCCTTTAAATATTGAAATTTTTCATTCTGAGGCCGTAACCTAAATATGGGGAGAGTTCATGTGGAGCTGCTTCTAGAAGTTTTAGTCATGCCTTATTCATTTCATATTTCATATTTTGGAGTTCTCTCTTTTATGATCTTTCTAAAGAATTATTTATTGTATTTCAGGGGTTTGGCAGCTCGCAGTCTTGACTCTTGTCCTCAGAATCAGTAACATACCTCTTTTGCTGGTTTCCCGTCTCTTCTGTTGATCAGTTTAGAGTTTGTCTCTTTGTTTTCCATTAATCATTGCAAATTCACCTTATTATGAATGGATTGGTGAAAGATGTATAGGCCACTGGTAAAAATCCCTAATTAGGTAAGGTTTTTTTAACACGTCTGAAATTAAATGATTGCTTGGCATTGATAGGCTTGTTAGCAGAAATCCTGGGCTGATGTGTAGAGACACAATTGTGATCTGCCTTTAGGTGTCTGATTCCCTTCTGCTTGCACGCAGAATGTCACTGAATGCAGGGACTTGGGGCAAGCTGTGTAGGTGGATCATGTACATGGAGAAGACCAAAGCTATGATCAGAAAAGTTGGGGGGGAGCTGTGAGTGCTTGCTATAAAGTCTGGGAGAACCTTCCTTGGCCTTCCTGTTATACCTCTGTGCATGTTTCTAGAACAGAATGGCTCTCTAGGCTTGGAATTAAAATTGAAGTGAGGTAGTGTGTACAAAGTGTAACCTGTCAAGGCGTAATAGATTTTAAGTTAGAAAACCTTTCTGCCTATTTTTGGGTTCTGCAGTATGGAAAGAACAGCTTTTTAGGTCTTTGATTGACATATTGTATTCTGTGTGATAGTCTGATTCAACAAAACCAGATTATGTTTGATCACCAAGTATAAACACGGTTACATTTTTGGGAAGGAAACACTTGATTTTTACTGCAAATAGTTCTACAATGGGCAGGATGTTTCCAATATGAAAATCATACAACTAGAAAATTGTCATATTTATCTGGAAGCAACCATAAGTTATATTGGGTGGAGATAGGTGTATGTATCTCTCTGTCTCCGTAATGTCTTTGACTGACATGTTCCTGATGAAAATAATAAATTAACTAAAGAAAATGTGAGGTGTACTGAAAAATAAACATGATTGCTCTGTTCTCCAAATTTGACTGCACTGAGCAATGAAGTAAATCCCAGTGCTGCTTTTGAAAGTGTTGTTCCAGAAGAGCGAGTACAGCACAAATTCTACTTTGTTGTCGAGTACCTTGGAAATAAGCCTTTCTCATGCTTCGTTTGCAGGATGTTGAATTTGAGTGATGTTGCTCTTGGCAATGACAGGTTTGGTTTCTCTGGTTCCTCTTTGACTTCATGCTTAACGTCTTTATTAAAATCTTGTAAAGTATTTATCTCCATACTGAATTTGAGTTAGGATTTGGAGGCATGGAGCATTTCTTATCACGGAGTTTTAAATCTTCCTGCTTAATCAGTCCCTTGAGAAGGCACTACTTCTAAAAAGTTTATAAACATTGAGAGGAGGGAAGGGAGCCCCAGTCTTCACTTGCTTAAACATTTGTTTGCTGAAATAAGTGTTTAAGGAACATAATAGCTACATGTACAACTGTTGCGATTTTGATTTTCATAATGATATTATCACGATGCGAGAGATAATAAGGGAGAATATTTGAGAAGAACTAAAGTTACAGGGGTGGAAACTACAGATAGTGAGAGGCATACATAGGAGACATGGCTTCTTTCTGCTCTGTAGAGCAGCTTGCCAATTTGAGAATTTTATGAGGGATGGTTCATAATTTCAAAAAAATTTCAGAGATTGAAGAAAATGTGCTGTTTCCCTATATTAAACCTATTCATTATAAATCATTCACAAAAAGTCTCTATCTACTATTTGAAAAAGCGACTTGTAACTGGGTGAGGGGAATCGCTTTTGGTTCAGGTGATTGTTGTCTTCATGATGAAAGTCTAGTTAGATATACGAAGTTCCTTATTCCATATTGTAGGCTCTGTATAGGATTTTAATATTTAATAAATGGGTTTTCTGAGTATCCCTCAGCCCAGAACTGTGACACCTGAGCAGAATTAATTTTTCTTGCAACTTCTCTGTCATTGCTGGAGTTGTCAGGTGTTAAAACTGAGAGGAGGCTGATGTTGCCATTTGATGTCAAAGCAACATAGAAAAGGGGGGACATGATTAAGCAATGTTTTCCTAATACTTTTCCATTTTCTTTTCAAATAGTTAAAAACAGCTGAGAAAGTGTTCATCCTATCCCTCTAACAGGTGTTCCAGAAAGAAATAGCTTATTACTGCTGTAAGTTACTTCTTTGTATGCATTCAAATCATATAATTGCTAATTGTATGATCATATATTGAGGGTTTGAAGGTTACTTCAAGGTCAAGCTATTCAGCTTTCTTAGCTTCCCATCATATAATCCCTAACTGCTGTCTGGGTGAAAAACAGTGCACTGGCCAGTTGGAGCTATGCTTTGCTGACTGTCATGCATATGCTGACTGGTCAGGTAACAGGACAAATATACCAACATTTTCATGAAGATTGTATGAGATAAGTGTCTTTGATAACACTGCCATATCTTGCTGAAATTCAACAAGTCCAGAAGTTATTTGGTGAGGGAATAGGAGTGAAAAGAGAAGTAGGGAGCATGATCACGTGAAACTTGATTCATTGTTTTCAAATACGATACTAAACCAAAATTCAAGTTATGCATGTAGCTAACACGAAAAGTTTTAGTCTTAATTCAGAGAAGGTGTCCAGTGTAATGCATCTAAAACTGGACTCCATGATGGAAAATACTTAGTTTTAGAAGTACTTAATCTTCCATAGTGAAGTGAGAGAAATGTATCAGACATCACACCTTGTATTTTGAGGCATAAAATAGTTGCTGAAAGATGGAAACAGCAAGAAGCTACCAGTTTTGAGAAGACTTGAAAGGCAGGTGTTGAATTATGAACTCAAATTTGTTTTGTTTTGACTGTAATCTTCACTGCTACTAACAGTATTGTATGATCTTTCTTTTGGAGCAGGCAGAAGAGAAGGAAAAACATACTTTTTTTCCCCCCCCCTCCCCTTTTTTCTTCTTCCCTGCCACCTGCCCCCACTCCCCAAGGGCCTCTATTTGCACAAGTTTATAGGAAGTATGAAGAGGCAGAGCCAAGACTAGGAAATGCCTACAGATACTGTATCTGCTTTTGACAAATTCGTGCTTTGTGCCTGATACCACACCTGAGATCAAAGGGGATTTTCAGCTTTAAAAGAGGCTTACCCCAGGCGAGACTGGGAATGAGGGTGTATTCGTGAGACTAAAACTGGTAGCTGATCTTTCGGGGTGAGAGCCACTGGTAGCTGATCTTTGCGACTGAGGACTGGTGGGGTGTTGTAGTGGCAGGCACACAAACAGGTTGCGGTGAGCATTCTTTGAGCCTGAAGCCGTCCTGAATCACAAGTTAGGAAAAGACTGGGCATGCCTCCAACAGAGAAGACAGGTTAAATTTTGATAAAAAGGTATGCATAGAATGTGGAAACTACTTTCACATGGCAGTCTGGTTTACTAAGTGCCAGGTGTCCCTTCGTGTGCTGCTTCTCTCTTCCTACCTTGGAAGGTACTTTTTATTCAAAAATTATTTTAATGTCTTACCAGAACATGTATGTCAAGAAGTCCACTTATAAAATGGTGTTATATGCACGACCAAATACATTTCAGTGTTTGGGAACTGGAATAGGCACAGTGGACTAAGTGTAATTACCAGGTTTAACCCTAAATCTGCTTCCTCGGTTTTTGGGAATTTTTCCTTACATAGTTAATATATGTTAAAGGTTGTTTGGTGTGTTAAGTCTTTGAGAGATTGTGCAAAAAATTAATGAGTTCATTCTGTAGAGAATATGTGAAGTCTCTTTAATGCATGCAACTATCCTGAAATATGTATCAAAATGCTTTCAATTTTTTTTTTTCTTGATTTTCCATAATACGCTCATTGCATAATTAGGATTTTGGAACAAATTCTGTGTTACGCATGCAAGGAAATGGTTCCATAATTATACTAATGTTTGCATAATTAACAAGCTGCTTGCCAATTTTAACTGACAAATTCCAACTCACTTTTGCATGAGGGGGGAAAAAACCCATAAAAAATGGTAACTTCTGTTAGTTTTTCCTTTCATACTTCTTACAGGTGTTGAAACTATTTCTTTCTGATTTGTAAGTAAATATATGTATTTTTTTTCTGATAGTCAGCGCTGTACAGAATAGGAGGGCTGGCTCTGGGGCTGTTTTGGGGGCTGCCCTCAAGCTCTGCCAACATATCTGAGTCCCCTGCTGCTGCCGCCACAGTTCTAGGCAGCTCTTCAGAAGTGACTGCCAATAGCACCGATCTCTTCCAACCAGTGTGGTAGTTTTCTGGTTTTGGGGGGCTGAGGAAAGACCACCAAAACTTATTTCCACTTGTGACCTAAGGCAAGGTTTGAACTCCAGTTTCCCTTGAAAAATGGCAAGTGTGCCGCTGGCCTTCTGTGCCGTTCAGCTGCATGGATTTAATGCTTTACATTGCTACTGAGTGAAATGTTTTTGTGTAAATGTAAGCTGAAAACACTTGGTCATTTTAAGATCCTGAAATGAAAGGGCCATAATAAAACCATGAAAAAGTATAGTTGAGGTGGCACTTATAAACTGGGAACAAAAGTGTGTGTATGTGTATGTATACGTATTTATTCCAATTTCTAAGTGGCCTTCTGTGTTTTCCTCACAGTATCTATGTATGTTTTATGCATAATAGTTTGTATTAAAATGCCCATATACAGTGTTCTGTCACTTCCATTTTAAAACTGTGAATCACAACAAAAATGCTGTAAGAACATCTAAGGTAGATAATTAAAGTATAATTAAGTTTAAATGCCTTGGTGAAGGAATATAAAAATATTTAAATTCAACAGGCTAGTACATTTGCAGTTTTCTTTTATTAGGTGTGAAATCTAAGAATCCCCTGCCAACTCTTGAGGGCTCAATCCAGAATGTTGAATTGAAGTACTGCGGCACATCATTGGTCAAATGTGCCTCTGGGACCGTGGGATCAATAAAAATTTGTGCCAAAGCCCCAGGTATGTGCAGCTGGACCATGTAAAACTTTATTGCCTGTATAGGAGAATTGGCCTTGCTTTTTACAAGGAGAGTTACTGAAACAAGAATTTACTCATTGTTCCTATGAATCAGAGAGGGTTTTTTGTATTCTGTTTTGGGTTTTTTTATTATATTGTTAAGTGTGCCAGGATGATCCAGTCTGGCCCCAGTATAGTCAATTTTTACACTAAGTAAAAAAATAAAGACTTTTTTCTGCTGAGACAAGTATTAATCTAAAAGCACTGAAGTAACTGGAATAACTCTGCATTTTCATATTACACAGAATTTTTGCATTTTGCTTTGTTTGCAGCATAATTTTTATGCATTCTGTTTATTGTTTAATGTTTCATTTTCCATTAATGCTACAAATATGTATATTGCTTGTGAAATTTTTGAGAGCTCTGTGATAAATAGCTTTTAAATTTCTTTTACAGAATTTTTCTTGAAGAGCATGCAGGAATTTTTCCAATGAATGTCTATGATCTCTTCATATCTAAAGGCAGCTAATGTCAAGAACATTAAAAATATAGCGTGTTTAACTCTCAATTGAGTTCATGGTGATTTTTAAAGACTTTTCTTATATAAAGTTGGGATGGAAATTACAATTTTAAATAGAATTGATTATTTGAAATCCTCCTGGATGTAAAGACATTTACAAGATAACATTAAGGAAGTTGTTTATAATAGTTTATATAAGATTGATCTTTCTATTTCCTCTTCTAGTTCTGTACTTACACTGTTAATAGCTGTTCTCTGTGCACTAGTGGATGTTTGTGTTGAAAATTTATCTTACAGTAAAAGCTGTGAGGATTCTAATCTTTATCTTAGGTGACGGTGGAAAAGAGAAGCTGATTCCTTTAATTCAAGGCCCTTCTGACACCAGAGACTTACACAGCAGTAAATGGCTCAATGAGAGCAGGAAGCCAGAATCTCTCTTAGCTCCAGATTTGGTAGCCTTTACAATCCAAATTCCACAGTATATGGACTACTGCCATAATTCTGGTAAGTGCAAAACTCTTGTAAAGCTGGTATCACATTACATTTTTCCTATCCAATGTAATTTTCAAAAGAGAGGCTGGATATAAAATGTGTCAAATGCCAAAGTATCTTTTTCACATACTGCACAGATTATAACTTTACTTCAACTCGCTGAGAGACTTGAAAACTAAAAGCAGCATTTTGATGTATGTCATCTTCAATAAGGAATATTTCATTGACTTTGGTTGCTTTTTAAGTTATTTATACAGAACCTTTTGTAAACTTTTTTGGGGGGGGCAGGATACCTGTTGAAAGCATTAGTTTTACTATTTCTTCCCTTTATCTATAGGGTTGAGCTTCTTATACACAAGTTGACCTACTGAGTTCAAAATAGTTCATATAAATTTGTAGCAGAATTTATTATTAATAATTTTTTTATCATAAAATTTGTTAATAATAAAAAGGTGATTTTTAAAATGCTACAGAGCACGCATTTGACGTCATCGAATTTGGTGTTGTGGTAGATTTAAATGAGAGACAAGTTAATATTTTCAGAGAGTTGCTTGGATAAATTTAAGGGTGTTGTTGACTTTGTGGGCATAAATACTTTTACCTGATATTCTTATGGTTTCTGTGGGCTTTAAACAAAACATTGGTCTGTTTTGTGCAACACTGACAATTTTGAAATGTGTATCGAGTTTAAAATAACTAATATAGTTTCTGAAATACACATGCATCTAGGTTTTGCTGTCAGTATGGTGCTTTTTAAAAATCATGCTTTTGTTTTTGGAAGTTTATCCTGTTGCCATGCTAAGAGTGGAGTGAAACAGGAGGAAAAAAACCAAACCCGAAAAGCATCTAGTTTAAGGAAAGCAAAAGGATTAGCTGGCCCCAATATTATGAAACACGAAAGTAAACTGAAAAGTGTGGAGTTTTTCTCTTTTTTTTTTTTCCACATGTGATGGTTGTTGAATGTCATTAGTCTGAAAAGTAACAGTGAATTTATTACCATCTTTGTAATGTTTGTGTGCATATATAACCAACATTTTGTTCTTATGCAAAGTAAATATTTCTAAGCACTGTGCACTCAAGCAGTTGTTAGGTTATTTTTTTGGTACCTGTATTTGTATTTTTCTTGGAGAGCATCATGTTGGAAATGTTTACAGCAGTGTTTTTACAACAGTTATCTGAAGTTCCTGCCCCTAAAGCATTGCTGAAAAGCAATTCATGATTCAACACTCTCTGAATTATTCAGATCCATTTTGCACCTGTTGTCTCTACTTAAGTAGCTTTTAAATGTTAGTAATAATAATATTTATTACTATTACTTATTATTGCTTTTTCTGCCTTTTTTGGGGATCTTTTCAGTTTAATTTTCTCATTTTTTGTCTTGGAATATTAATTACTTTTTAAATGAGCTGTGCGTACTTACACATTCTATAGAATTATTTCTTGTGTTACAGGTCACAGTGATCACGTGCATTTTAGCTCATCAGTATTACGGATAGTCTCATTAGACAGTACAGAGTACTTGGTAGGTTGTGACAGCAGATGCCTACGGGAATTATGGCACTGACAAAGGGAGTGCTGGCCAGACTCATATGCAGGACGTTGAGATTGTAATTGATTTGTAATAGACAGGTGTCTGTGGGTGGATGGAGATACATTTAAAATGGTAAGATTTTAGAATTTAAAATTTACTGGATGCTTCACCTGCCTCCCCAGTGCCTCCGGAAAGTTGTATTGATTCTGTGTACTCAGTGGTAGTTACTAACCTGCCTGCTCAGCCTCTAGCTGTGCTTCTCTCATCTGCAAGGTGGCACCTGTGACTGATGGCAATTGAGAGGGAAAAGCTAACTGATGTGTTACAGCTTCGGTCCCAGTAAACATGAAGAGTAGTGTACTGGAAATTATTTTTTTGTTTTTTAAATACAAATTAAACTAGGAAACATTAATGGTTAAATTATCTCAGATTCTGTACAAAGGATGAGGGAGTTAATCAAAGCCTTCACTTTCAAATACTTGCTGAAGGAACTGAGGCAATTTAATACCGGAGACACGGCTGTCTTTTTCATTATGACTGTGAAAACTGCATGGAGGGAAAACCTGAAGTGATTTGGGAGCATAGAAATGCTTTTGCTGTCAGTTGCAGTCACTTCTGGGAATTAAGAAAGCTATACTGCATAATTTGACAGCAAATTCAACTTATGCCCCTGGGGAGTAGAAGAGTTGTTTAAAGCTGTACTACTGCAGATAATTGTGCAGTACAAAGCTGTGCTGTTTGAGCAATTTTTTCCTAGTAAGGTTAGATCTAATGTTCTGGAATAGGAATTTGGACTACAGAGAAGAGTGAAGAGAGCAGTGGAACCTGCTTGTAGAAGGAACGAAAAAAGCTGTCTAGGAGAGATGAGAAAAACGATCTAGAATTGTTCAGTGCTATTAAATTGCTGGAGATAAGGCCAGGGTTGGTCAAGTCTTTTAGCTCTGTGAAGTACATATACAAATACCTGTACAGCTGATGCTCACAAAATACACACATGATTTCTTGAAAGAACTGAGGGAGACAGCAGTTCCAGCTTGGTGGCATTGGGTAAGTTCTCATCCAGCACTTGGGTAAACTCAGTTTACTTCCCCATATACAAGGATTCAGAACACATTGCAAACTCGGTGTCAGTGAAGCTGCTGGTCACACCGTGCAGTGGGGGAGGGAGGTGGCTCACTGGAGCTGTACAAAGCTGAAGAGCTGTAACTTAGCCACCTCTGTGAAGAGCAGAATGATATAGTATCTTTTTGTGTGTAAAACCAAAACCAGCAATTGCAGGGGAATTTCTGGGTACTCTGGAAGAATTCTGGAAGACAACACAATGCCTGTGCAGGTGACTTTTAAAAATTTTTTGCTATGTAAAAATTAGTGAAGGAAGAGTAAGTAATTTGTTATGCATCTGTGAAGTTGAATGGAAAACAACTTGGTCTAAAATCAAAGCAGTTGTTTTGGGTATAAAATGCCAAGGAGGAGGTTGTGCAAATGGCATGAGGTTCTTGGATAAACCAGGGTATATTTACATGGAGAACAGGTGTTAGACCTTTCTTCCTCCTCTCCTTGTCAAGTCAGCAGCCTCTCTGCTGTCTTGTACCACTCGAATCATGTGATCCAGGGTGACCAGAATGGTTGTGGAGCTTGCTTTTACTGCTTGTCTGTAGATGGCCCTGCAAAGACTGAGTGTGTATTTACAATTTGAGTAATAAAACATTTCACACTACTCTTTTATTTCTTACTGTGTCACTTGTTCCTATACAATTCCAGTAGTACCATACTGCATTGAGTATAACCAGCAAAGGAAGAAACTCTATAAAATGTAATTCCAAAAAGGGCAGCATGGAAGTGTGTGATGTATAGCATATACAGGCAAATTAAGTAGTAAATGTAACAAGTGTATATACTGGTAATTACTTAACAGGAGTATTTTATTGTTTGGTGCACAAAGTGTCATTAGCACAGTGGAAAACTGATCCATCAACAGCAGAGGAATTACATAGGGACACAGAATATAAATTTTGTTTAGTGCTTAAATACAAGTCTGCATGCTGATGCTTAATTTTGGATACTTTTGTTGCATGAAAAACTGCCCCAGGTATCTCTCTGCGTAGTTGTAGAAATTGGTGGATATGCTCCCCAGTCTGTATCCAAACTGCAGCATATAAAATAAATACAAGAGAAGGAGATTATTCCGTTACCCCAGGGCTTGGGAAAGTCTTCTTGCTGCTGCTCTGAACTAACCCTGGCTTTATTAACCCTCGGAGCAAGCTGCAGACCTTGTTTGTTTCACCTGGCCTTTGAGAGAAATAGGGAAATTTCAAAATGAATGCTGGTGTTAGTATTTAATTATGAGCAGCTGTAGAATAGATGAGGTGAGCTGATTAAGCTCTATTTGGTTCCCCATATTGAATAATTGGGAGTGCGTGCACAGCCGGTGTATGGAGAGCTTTATTACATATAAATCAACAGGAACTAAAATAAAAAATACAATTAGTGAAGTCTTCTTTGAGATCAGCTTAAATATTCAGTAATGCAGCAGTGAAATAAGGGAGTAAACAGAAGTGCCTGTATTAATATTGTGGTCGTGTGTGGTAAACTGATACACCCAGTGGAGCAAAGTAAGAATCAGAAGGCTTCTCTAGCTGCATGAAGGCTGCAGAGCAAATATTCAACTGTGTAAAAGTAGGTAGTTTCTCATTTAAGTGGTATTTTTCTTAAACTTCCAAAGACACTTGGATTTTTTTCTCCACTGTTTTTTTTTTTTTAAGTTTAGATAAGATCACTGTGTTCACCCCCTGCCCCCTCAATAAAGGAAAAATAATTTGTCCAGTGAAAATATTTTTAAGACTGAAGAAATCATATCTTCAAACATGAAAAAAGTGCCATAAATGTTGTACCAGCAGGAGCATTTTTTTCCTGCCGTAAACCAGATGATTTTATCTGTTAGAACTTATTTGAAAGGAGGCGAGAGATTTTACATACATTTCTTTTTATGCATGCACACTTATATATGCCCCCAACTCCCCCTTTCTTACAGTTAAAATAGTCTGTCATTGACATATTTTTAAATTTAATTTTCATTACTTAGACTGGATTTTAAAGCTGGAAAAATGACATTTTTTAAGTTGTCGGTTCTAATTTAAGTGAGTGCTTGTGCTAGTAAATAAAAAAACCCTCGTAAAAGAAAATTCATAAACCAATTTGAAGTATTCTGGAAAGATTTGACACAATGAATGGGTAAAAACACTTAATATATTGGAGTAATTAAAGACAATTCACATTTGTGGTTTGGGCATAAATGTGTAAAAATTATACCCATCTATCTTATTACATTTCCTTTTCTCTCCCTGAGGATTTCACTATGTACTTTATCTGTAATTGTTGCCAGTTTTCTATCAAGTTCCCACTGGGCTTCTGGTGCAAAAAATCTTATCCTCTCGATGACAGAGCTTGCCTGAATGATTTCATGCTCTTAGCATTTTTGTTC